CGTGCACCCAAAATTGCAAGCTGAAATGCTTTAGCTCAAGCACTGCAATGACAAGTTAGTGGTACTAAATGTCAACATTTAAAATGAAACATTTCCAAAGTTGCAGTTAACCTTCTGTTGTCAACGAAATGTTGCTGCATGTGTATTTTTGGGTTTTTAACAGTAAAAGACAGGGTAAGAAGAAAAGAGCCAAATTATAAAATGATCAAACATGCTTAAAAAGCATATGTTTATTTAAAATGTTATAAAGTCAGAAAGGAAAAAAAATTAAATAGTGTTACTTCATCAGATTTTGAAGTTCTAAAAGACAAAAGCACACATGAGAATTTACAGAGAAATTACAGCAATGAATGACTTAAAACAATTTAAAGAGTCTCCAGAAGACTTAAACAAGCTGAACAGCTTCTAGGTTCCCCCTCATAATCTGATCAACGACCACATGAAATGCCACCCGTACGCTTGTGGCGTCTATGGCAGTGGTGAAGTGGTGGTACACAGGCCTGTCAGGGTTGCTGTTACATGCTGAGAACATTGCAGTGATATTGTGGGCTGCAGCATCCACATCACCATCAGCACCTATGATAGCAGGAGAAAAAGAATTAACTGCGCAAAGGTTAATCAGTACATTTCAAACCAGCCATTTTTTTGTTTTTCTTCACAATCCCCAAACGGACTAAGAGCTTCCTTTAAATGACCTGAAATGTGGCCAAGACAGCATCACATAGTTGCTGCAAATTTGTCAGCTACACATCCAGGATGTTAGTCTCCTGTTCCACATCATCCCAAAGGTGCTCTATTGGATTGAGACCTGGTCTTTTGAATACAGTAAACTCAGTCATGTTCAAGAAACCAGTTTGACACATTCTACTGGAAGCAGCCATCAGAGGATTGATACACTGTGGACATTTAGTGACAATATCCAGGTAGGCTGTTGCACTTAAACAGTACATAATTATTACCAAGGGGCCAAAGTGTGCCAAGAAAATATTCCCCACACCATTATACCAGCCTGAACATCAAAAGACTTTCATGTTTTTTTTAATACCAAATGCTGACCCTACCATCTCAATTTTGCAGCAGAAATCGAGACGCAGATCAGGCATCGTTTCCAACCTTCAATTGTCCAATTTTGATGACCCCATGTGCAAGCATGTTGTGCATTCAGAGATGCTCCTCTGCACATCTTTGCTAAATAACAGTTATTTGAAGTTCTTTTCCTTCCTCGCAGTTTGCCCATTCTCCTCTGACATTACCCAGAGAACTGATGCTTACTGGATAATTTGTCTTTTCAGACTATTTTGTGTGAAGCTTAAAAATTGTGTGTGAAAATCTCAGAAGATCAGCAGTTTCTGAAATACTCTGTCACTTCAAATTAACTTTCTTCTTGATTCTGATGCTCAGTTTGAACTTCAGCATGAAGTCTTAACCATGTACACATGCTAAATGCAATAAAAATGCTATCATGTGATTGGATGGTTAGATATTGGCATTAGCAAGCAGCTGAATATTAGCGGTTGAGAGTGTGGGTGTGTTGTGTTGCAAATCAATTCTTTTGGAATTGTAGTTCACAAAAAAAATCTCAAAGATTTAATTCCTTCATATGTCTTAAAAGGACATTTGGAAAAGAAAAGTGGGTGGAGGGTATCTACAATGTACCTTTATAGCTAGAATGGTAAAGCCTCAAGTGTCTTCCAGATTTTAGGATCTTTTCCCGGAAAAGGTCCGTTTTGTTCATGAACAGAATCTGTAGGAGGGAAATAAAGAGTGTTAATAATAAAATTATTTCTGCTGAAACCTCTTCACTGGGATTTTCAACAACATGACTCTCAGTCTCAAATATCTACAAAAGCAACTGTTCGTACACTCGAGGTCCGTTTTAAAGAAAAAGAAAAATATCTGAACATTCAGCAGCATTAAAATCACTGTTATGCAAAAACCGGTATGCCAATACATGTAAGTTCAGATCCATCCAAATCAGCTACAGTCAGTATGAAGTCATAATTCTAACCATCTAAATAGATTTTCTTCACATTTCTCATATAACACTATAATTGGTTGTTCAGTTTTAACACACAATCATGCAGAAATGATTCAAATTGAAAGAATATGAAATCCTTCAATTGTATTAAGTTCAGGTGCTGACGGCTGATTTTTACTCATAAAACCAATTTGACATTCTCAGTATGAAAGAAAACTAAACGCAGCGTCTCTCAAACAGTCCTCGGAGCTTGTTTAACTAAATGAAATATCCTGCATCTCAGACTTTGTATGCCTAATATGTATACTAGAAATGAACAAAACAGTCCTTCAGTCATTCCCACAAAGTTTAAGACACGGCACAACTCTAATATCCAACTTTCAAATATAACATTTGAACCCTTTAATCAATTAATGGTAGGAAGAACATGATCCAATAAAGGGTTAAAGAAACTCAAACTGCAAAAACTTACCATGGTGGTTTGCTGGAAAACCGTGTGGATGCAGATTGATGAAAAAAGTTCAAGACTTTCTTGCAGCCGATTCTAATCAGGAAAGAGGCAATTTTAACTCCAACTGAGCAAAATCTACTGGCTGTAGAGATTTCTAATCAGTTTGTAACAACATACCACAGAAGGATCCTCCAGTAGTGTCATATCATAGCTGTTGAGGGCCACAACAAACACCACAGCTTGAATACCTTCAAAGCAGCTTAGCCACTTCCTCCTCTCACTTTGCTGGCCTCTGACATCATACAGCCTGTCAACAAGAAAAAACTTTAAGCTTTATTAAAAAAAAAAACAAGTTGGGAAATAGAGTAATCACTACCTTTTACATATTTTATAGCTCAAAATTAAATTGCTAAGGCCTTGGTGCTCTGACAAAGTTGCCTGAGAACATTTCATATTTAGAAATGATACAATTTATTTAGAAGCAATGCCATTATGCAAATAAGTTAATTAGGAAAAGCAGAGGCAACAATCTGTATAAGTAGTTTTATTTCATTTTTTTTTTAGGTTAGGAAGTGTCTCACTACAAATCAAACCAGCAGATGACTTGCCTCATTGTGCAGCTCTGGATAAGCACCCAATTCATACGGCAGCGTGCTCGACACTCAGAAATAACATTTCGCCCATTTAAATTATTGGAGCAATTTATCTCAACAAGACTCTGCACCAAGTGAAGTGAAGGGTCTTGGTGACACAGGTAAGTTCCCATTTTGGGGTGCTATGATTGCCGTCTTCATGTCAGAGACAATGAAGCATTTACCCCATTGGTCAAGAGTCAGCGTTAACAAGCTGGGTGACAGTAAGTTTTAACCGTGGCATTTGACAGCAGTAGTTTATGTAGTGAGGACAGAAAAGCCATCATTTATAATGGAAAGAGGGCTCTTTATGGCTTTTCCCCATCAAGTACAAGAACAGAATCAGAACTAGATATAGACAACTTAAACACTGAGTTCAGCAAAAGAGATGGGACTGACTCAGTCTGCTTTAGCCATATTTGCAGGGCAACAAAACATTCATTATAAAACAAAAAAGCATTTAAGATCAATTTAAAGACAGAACACAAGACAAGAAAACTTAAATGAATTTAATGAAATAAATTTAAATGAAACTACTGAACAACAGTGATATCATATCACCTGCTACAAAAAGCAATATGCTTCCTTAATTTGGTGAGATTTTTTCCTGCGTCCATTGCAACTGCATTTTGAGTAAAAAGCTAGAAGCAGCTAGTAGAACCAATGTCACCTCGTAGACTGGTTGAAAACACAAAAGCACTGTGCGATAAACAAGTTAAGAGAATTGAATCTAAACAATATTTCAGTTTTCATTGTGTGCATTCAAATATCAAATTTAAAGTTTACAAACTATAATTTAGTAACTTCATATTATTCATATTTTATCAAGAAGAACAGGAAAAAATCTGAAGGGTGACACTGCGGTCCTTGAAGCAGCTACAGTATATAAAATATTCATATTCAAGTCTTGGTATGATTCTGTTTGTGAACCACAGACCGAATAGAATCACAATGAAGGGAAAGTAGGCAGGAGGCATTATGAATGCCTGGTTATTCTGAAAAACAAGAGTTATGGGAAAGAAAGTTGGGATTTCAATGATTCATAGCCAACTTTCTCCATATTTCTGCTAATACTTTTGGAATATCGAGTGGAATATAGAGTAAAGTCCTCCATATTTTAAGACTGATTCATTCCCAGGAAGCAACCTGCCTTCACTCAGAATTGCTAATGAGGTTGGACAGAGTGCATCTCGATAACCTCAAGCTGATATGCAGGAAATATTGATTCATTTCTTAACTTTTCAACAAATAACTTAAGAAACAGTCACAAGTAGATAATCTATCACTATTTAGCACACTGTGCTAAAGTTACGTTGGTTTTGTGTTAAAAATCTGTGAAACTAGCAGCCTTCAGGCAGTTTCATAAAAACTATGACCCAGTAATTTCCACCACTTTAATTCTGGATGCCTTTGTTGCAGTTTATGGCACTCTCGATGCCCATTTCCTTGACTCAGTCATTACTCGGCTGTCCAATAATGCATTTGTGCACAAGCGCACAATCTACAACAACAAATCACAGCTTTCTTTAAAGCACCACTGGTATATTTTATTCCTTTTTATGTGCAACTACAACATTCCTGACATAAGTCATCAGATTGGTCTTTTGTGGTTATGCATCAATATCTAGAGTCCTTTTATAACAACATAAATATTATCTTCTAAAGATGAAAGACCTCTAATCTATGTAACATAAAATATTTGTAGTGCATTGACTAATGCACACGGGCTGCTATTTAAATAACAGCCCGTGTTATTTAAATAGTCCGTGAGTGTTTTGGTCTATATTTGTACACAGCAGCATATTGCAGCGTGTGAGGGCAGGGATTTGATTCATAAGGCTTAAGTTTAATGGCCAATTTTTAATCCAGATTTCCTCATTTTGTTTGTGTTGGAAGAGTGTTAAGGGAATAAAAGAGTTCATTCAGTGATAACAAAGGTTTATGCAAACATGCAAGATGCAAAGAGTTCAACCGTCTCTTGAAAGTATAGTGAGGTAAAATAGTTTTAATATTCACTGGGCACAGGGGAGATTGAGTGGCAAACAGCAAATCTTAAATGCGATTCAGATTTTTTTTCCTCATATTTTTTCAGGCAATCAGTGGTCCACTCTAAAGCACTGTTTCAAAAATTAAAATATTAAATAAACAACAACAAAAAAAAAAAGGAAAAGTATTACAGGTACAGTTATTTAATCTTTGCACTGTTTTATTTGGACTTTGTGTCTTACCGAAACATAGTTTTATCAACTTGAAACTGTGTCTCAATGATTCCACAGGTCCTCACTCTGACTCTCAGAACATCTGCATCTGTGGGAATGTAGTTTGGTGCGATGATTCGACTCATGTTCTCAAAGAAACTGGAGGAAGGGAAAAGAACAAAGGAGAAGGAACATGACTTGGACTTCAGACTACAAGTCACTGTTTTTTGCCAAAATTTAGTTTGTATGAGATCACACCTACATTGTAGGTGTGACTGGACATGATACAACCACCAATTGCAGGTGAAAAATGCATATTCCCCAACTGCTTTGGCAATGGTTCTAGAGGCTGCTTGCTATCACTGGGTAAAACTGGTTGCAAAAAAGCCACTGCACCAAAATCTTAGACTGACACAGCTGCCTATAGTTTTTCATTTTTGTCTGTAGACACTTAGCAACTACTTGCCAAGTGGTAGTGCAGCTTTTATTTTGAAGGCAAACCGTTTCCATTTCCTGTTTGTGTTGTACTACAGCTCAGAGTAGCTGGACAGTGTTTCTAGACAAGTCCATTACTTCCATTTAAAGTACAACAAAGTGTTAGCAACAAAAGCAATCACAAAAATATTTTCTCCAATCAGCTGGGGAATATAGGTTGTTTTTCCAAGCAACAGGTGGTTGCTGGTGGGTGGGCGGATATGCGATCAGGCTTTAGCAATCATTTTCCTAGTGACTGCTATAAAGTCTCCAGCAATCACTCACAACTAATGGGAATCATGCCTCATTTTTCTCCCCATGACCCATGGTTGCCAGATGGTCGTGGACCACTCTATATCTTGTGTAACTGGGCCCTTCTTCTCTTCTTCAGCTTGTCATGTGACCGAAATGGGGGAAACTTAACGTCATGTGGTTAGTAGTCACATGTCAGTAAAATATCAATAGAAACTTCCCACTGTACAGCCAGTTTAAGGAATTGGCAGCTAGTGTTTTTAGCCTTTTAAAATGCTGCTTTGTGTTTCTAGACAGGCTATGTTATTATGGCATATGGCAACTTGTTTTTTTTATCATTAATTATAGGTACCAACAATTTACTGTTCCATTTAAATTATTATTCCAACACAGCAACTATATTCAGCTGTCAAGTATTTATCACACTAAACCATTGTTATACCACATACCTGTAACGTATTTATTCAAACTGATTTAGACAAGTGAAGAAAAGTCAGTTCATGATTATTTTAAACTTCATGCTGAGATACTCGCATAACCAATGTCAGCATAAGTAACATAAAGAAAACTTTGGAGCACAGATGAAGTTTGAGAACAAGTCCAACTAGAATGCAGATGGAGGTGAGTCTCTGTAAACCAGGCATGGATATTTATGGCTGCAGCTCTCTCACATGCGTCATACTGTAGAAGTGCACACCGCTCCCCAGCAGTTATTTTTTTGGGGTCATCTTCCAAAGTAAGACACTCTAGGAACTAACAGAAAAACATCAGGGATTCTGATGACTCTACTTTCTGCACTTTGACGCTTCTGACACACAAACAAAATAAACATGCCAACACTTACATACACAAGGAGCTAAAAATAAGGGTTTTAGACATCTTGATTTTAATTCATGCATGTTCCTAAACGTCCTGCTCTAACAGTTTGAAGCTCTTCTGGAAATCTTGTGAAAGTCTAATGGACAAACCTCACTTTTTATCTGAACGATGGAAAGAAATTGCTGCAATTTTTAAAAGCACATTTCTCCATTCTGAGGTCCTCATCAGTTCACTTGATTTGTTAGACTGTTTTTCTTACCATTTAATAATGCACCAGACAGGCCTGGACAACAGGCAGGCTATTTTATCACCCTGCTCTTACTATGGAGTCATGCTGCTCACAATTTGCAAAGAAAGCCGTTTTTAGTTACGTCATGTTAAAATAACCATTTGTTCCAAAAACCTGGTGACTCTTCAGAATTAATGCTGCTTTCACAGAGGTCCAAGTTACTCGGCCATGTGCTCGCTCACCATACATGCTAGGTGTTAAACCAACCAGAGTCCCCACTTATATAATCCTTTTAAATGTGAATATCATTTAAATAGCAGTTTTACAGACTTGCAAATCATTGCATTCTTTACATTTTCTAGGCAACATTTTTTTTAAGACAAAACTGTAGTTCAGTGGCAAGATGATCAAATAATATTGCTTAAAAGTGATCTACTTGCTTTAAAGTAATCAAAGTGTATCACAATAGTCCAATCCAACATTTCCGGAGGGAGAAATCAATGCAGGGTCCAGCAGTGTGAAAACATAGACAAAGAGGCAGTCGGGTTTCACGTTATCGTCCAGCTCTCAAGTCCGAGTTCTGATAATCAAGCCGTCACAAATCTCTGAGACTGGCCACATGAAAGAAACTTTATCTTGACAGATCTACTTGCCTTTCCCTCTGAGATAACAGCTTCTATTCAGTCCATTTGTTCTACATTCAAAGATAAAAATTACTAAAGAAATTTCAATTTAAAAGACCATGTAACCAACACTGACCACAGTACACAGTCTTATGGTCTTTAAATAAGAGTAACCTGCAATTTAAGCCAATAAGTCACAAAATTCAAGAGACATCCTAATGAATGACCAACTTACACTCCACTATTAATTCAGTCTGAAGGAGAGGTCATTAAAGGCATCTTGATCTATGCTCAACTATCCAGGTAAGGAAATCCCAGAAAGTTAAATCAGTTTATCTGAACGTAGCGTTTTCTGAAATAGAAATAAACGAACTGAAGTAGTCACAGTACATGTCTAGATGAACTTTGAGCCGTAATTGAAAGAGACATGTTTTAATACTAGTAGTCAATAATAATGCAAAAACGTATGTCATGAACCTTCAAATCAAACATGAATCACAATTTGATTTGTTTATTAGGTCACAGTGATGCATTAAGAACGATTTCAACAATGACTGCAAAACAAACTGCCTTTACATAATAGTCAGAATTTAGCAAGCAGCCCAAGGGAATATCAGATATTTACTAAATAAAATATCACGCATGTGAGAGGGGGGTCTCATAACTGCACTTACAGGGGAAAACAATAATGCCATTTATTAAAACATATTCCACACTCACATTAACAATTCCCACTTCACCTGATGACACAACACACAAATCATCTATGCTGAGTAGGCATGTAGGATTCATGACATTTACAGGCAGCAGTGTAGCTGCCACAGCTCGCTTTT